ACAGCCTCCTCAAAGGAGCCTTGCGGCAGCACCGCTCACTACCCAGCAACCAGGCAGGCCACGGGCAGGTGAGAAGCGTCTGCCAGGAAGAATCTTCCTGGTCAAGAAATAAATATCCTTGCGTTATTTCAGCCATCCTCCTTTGTGGCCAGGCCAGAGCTAAAACATTCACTAAGGCCAAATCTGTATTTCTGAGCGTGTGGCAGCTGCGGAGCCAACAGGGCCCCTAAGCAGCTTTGTGCATAGCCAGGGAAATGAGTGTTTGTGCTCAAAACCCCGGGCTGCTCGTCTGTCTCAACCTAATAGCATTAACCCTCTGCGAGGAGGAGCGTGCCAAAGCCCCTCCGGGCTGCCTGTCCAACCCCTCGGGCGATGCCGGAGCGCGGCAGGAGGAGGCAGAAGGAGGTCTCCCAGGCTGTTTTTGGCAGATGCGCGGTTCAGGGCGGGAGCAGCAGGCACAGGGCACGCCTGGGAGGGAGCAGCATCCCGGGCTCCCCTGCGACTTCGCCGAGCTTGACGCAGCCACACCAGACTGGCCTCTCACAGGGAACAGCTTGCTCCAAAGAGAAGCTGGCGCGAGCTCTTGTTCCCCGGCGCAGGGAGAGGAGGGCAGCGAGGCGTTTGGGATGCCAGATCGCGGCGGCGCAGGAGAGAGGCCCCGTTCCTGCCGGGGTGAGTCATCAGCCTCGCCACCTCCCACCTGGCTCCCGCCCTGCTGCTCACCTCGCTCCCTGCAGCGCTCAGCACCGTCACCTCCTCAAGACTGACCTGCTCCTGACTAAGATTCCTCAAGAGGCTTTTTTAAGCCCACAACAGGATCCCTAGGAAAAAAGTAGGATGAGACACCAATACTGAAATCTCAAGGGGGAGATGCCCACGTGTGAGCAGCTTCTCTCAGGAGAGCCCTTTCCAGACAAGCTCCCACCTACACTGCGCTATCCCTGCACCCTCAGCCCTTCGCTCACCTGTGCTCTCCAGATCTCCCTCTGCTGAAGACAACAGGTACAGCTCAGCCAGGCTGAAGAAAAGCAAACGCAGCGAATGAGGAGCCCTAACACCACATCAACTGCAGGAGGAAAAACGGCTCTTGCTACACGAGCACACTGCCTTCTTCTTCGCACGCAGCCTAACTATCAGCTAAATACACGTAACTGGACCAAAACGCTCCCGGGCTGCACAGCGGTCGGTACGTGCACCACTCCGCCTTGCAGAAAACGCTCAGCTCGTCCTGTCTCCAAGAACTTAACTCGCACGTGTGACCAAAACCAAGAGATCGAGAATAGCTCTAACACAACAGTAGCTTTATATTCTAAGCAACTAAATTTTGCTTTGGGCCATTACACATCACATTCCTTGAGTTTGCTTAACTTGTTCTGACCGAAGTACTGCAGTCACACAGATCTGGCTGACACAAGAGAACGTCTCTTTGCTGTACTTCTTTCTTCCTGCACTTCTGCATGTTTCACTGAATAACAGAAGAAGGAAACCTACAGGTAAAGCAAGAAGTTTCCAAGTACCCTTAGAAAAGTAATGGTGTGTGTGTGAGGGCAGGATCTAAGAGTTGAGGCCTGAGTTTATCAGGCAAGAAGTCAGTGCTGAGCACAGAGCAGGAAAAAGAGGCTGGAAAAGCCACCAAGACTGATGAAATCCTGCAGAAAAACGTTCAAGACATTTTGAGAACAAGTCTGACTTCCAGTGGAATCATGAAAAGCATGAGGAGACCTCGGCCTAGATTAGCTGCTCGAACTGAGGAGACAAATATTGTAGGCTGCCACCTGGGTTCTGCTTAGCCTGATCTCGTGATTACCAAGATCAAAATCCTAGTGTAAAGCCAGCCTTTCTGCATGATGGGCCTGTGAGTGAAGTGGACGCTGACCACAAAAGGTGGGAACTGGAAGAGGTGGCAAGAGGCACAGTGCAGCTGCTGAAGGGAAGCGAAAGAAGAGTAGAAGCTGGGAAGAGTAGAAGCTGCCAAATCTACAAGTGTGAAAAAGCAGCAGCTCACCAGAGAAAAAAAAAAAGTGCATGTAAGGATGAGACTGTGAGATACGAGACGAGAGGAAAGGTATCACATGTCAGAGAGACTAAAAGAACAGAATGGTGCTGCTCACCAGGTCAATGAGTTTGGTGACTGGAACCTCTCGGATGGGTCGCCTCATGCGGCACAAGGCCTCCAGGGAGGTGCCGAAGCAGCTGGGCAGGTAGGTTCCACTGATTGTAAGGAAATAGTCCTTCCCTCGGTGCAAGTGAAGGACAAGAATATCCTCAATTTTATCCTCGCCAGAGTTCAGAAGGGTTACCGAGTCCTTACTGACGTACACGTCCAGGGAGATGTCCGTGCTCTCTTCTGCAACAGACAGGAGACTTCGAGAGCACACAGACGCTCTCCAGAAGGCATGACAAGGACAAACACACAGCAGCAGGGACAAAGGCCATGAAACTGAGAAGAGGATGCAGACGAGGACAATGGCAAGAAGGGCGAGACATGGGACAGACAGGAAGGACCAAATGGAGGCAAGGTGGCAGGCTACACCAGCACAGGCTGCAGAAACTGTGGTAACACTCACCTGGCTCCAGGTAACCTTCACAGGGCTCAGCCCGAAGCCACGGCTTACAGTAATGGGTGTCATTGAGCTTTGGGATGAAGGAGAAGTGACAGGTGACCTGCCCGTTATTGGTGATCTGGAACTTCTGCTTCTGCAGTTGGCGGAACTTCACATTCTCAAACTCAAACTGCAGAGCAAAGAGAAAACACAGATCCGGTTACGGGCCACGATGGGGGACACGGCCAGGCACCTGCACTCTGCAGAGGCAACCTGGGACAGAGAGGTGCCCACACAGGGCAGAGCTCCTAAAGAGGGCCTGCCGAGAAGCCAAGGCAAGGTGTCCTCTCTAATCCAACTCCTGATCACAAGACAAATTCCAATTTCCTATAATCCAGTTTACTGAAGCAAAGCCTTTAAAAGCAGTTCTGGCCCTTCTAAGGCTGCTGCGTTTGGGGAGTGGACAGGGATTCAGGTTCCATCCTCACTTCTCTCCTGCTTAGCTCCAGCGAAGGAAGAAAGTCATTCTCCATTCTGTCCATTAAACGAACAATGTCTTCAAACAACTTCCGATACTTCTGCTCATCCACAACCTTCACCTGCGGAAGATGAAAAAACTCTCAGCAAAGTTTCTAACCAGCTTCACAGGAGCTCTCTTGATCACGAGCACACTGCAGAAGTGAAATATTTCTCTAAGCACTTGCTACGCGCAGCTGCAGGGCTAAGAGAATTTGCACACACGGGTGCACCTCCACGCTGCATATGCAACCTTACGCATGTTTTATTCCTACAGATGTCACTAGCGTCCTTCTGGCCACCAATCACCCTACTTGGAGCTTACTGGGGGTGATGGCTGTGGGACAGCACCAGCACCCCGTAGCATTACTTACGATTCTCCAGAGGAGGAGGAGAAAGGCTCTCCTTTAAAGAGACTTGAGCTACCTACGGAGCAGGAGGTAGCAAAATTGGACATGGACTGTCTCTGTGCAGTAAGCTAAGAACCCTAAATCTGCTGCCAGACGTTCACCTCCAAAGACATTCAGACGTGAACCAGCAACACGCTCTCTCAACGCAGCAGAGGCGACATCGCAGCAGCAGGCACGGAGCTGCGGAGCAGAGCACAGCTACGAGCTGCCGGCCAGCAGAGACTGTCAGCAGCAGCACACCTGCACCGCAGACACCCGATTGTTATTTACTCTGTCCTCTTGCACAGCATTAGCAGAGGTGCCTCAACTACGTAACCACCTCCCGAAGCAGCCCCTGACAATATCATGATCCCAGCCTTGCAATATATTAAAAAAAAGAAAAAAAAAGTTACCCCGATGCGGAAAAGGGCGCTGACTGGTTTGTGGTCACTAGTCTTCAGGTCCATGTGGCTGGAATACCGCAGCTGATTGATGTTGCCTCCTCTCCAAAGGATGCGATCACACCACGCTGGCACACGACACTTTCCACTACAAAGAAAAACAGGTTACCAAGGACATCCTAACAAACCATCCGAGCCGTTTCCACTCCCAGTCAGGCAGCTCCCTCCACCCTCGGCACCCAACATTGCATCAGCAGTGACAGGATGAACTCCTGTCATCTCCCAGAACTTGAGTACTACGCTATTTCTTCTACTTTTTTTACGGTAGCTAAAAATTCCTCATCCTTTCCAGCATCAGGAAATAACTTCAAAACAAGGCTGTTTCCACAGCCTGAAGACGCATACACTGTGATCCAAATCATACCAGTTTCTTTTGCTGCCAGATCTTTCTACTCACTACAATCTGATCCATCACTTACTGTTTCCACTACGGAAAGCCTACTCAGCTATTACTATTATGTTATTAAGTCTGAATCCCAGGTTATCCTTCTCCACATTTACTGTGCTGATTCATAAACACAGGCAGAGTAAAACCTAATTGCTACATGGTTTGAAACTCCTTCTTGGGAGCTTCTCCCTTTAGAGCAAGCCTCTACGGCAGATGCGTAAATGTCTGTGGGAGGCAGAGCGCAGCAAGTAGGAACCACCGCTGCCATCGCAGCATCACCACTCCTGCGGGCACGCGAGTCAGGGGACAGGGTGACTCAGAGAGAGCGTCTCCTGCTCTCTGCAATTCCCCTTATACCCTTTGTCTGTCCCTGACAGCAGCAAACGCTCCAGCGCAGGGCTGCCTGCGAGCTCACGCTTCACTCGCCCTCATCTGCCAGAATTAGCCCCAACCGAGGTTGAAGGCTGGCACCTGGTCAGCGTACACAGGGTCTGACTATTTCACAAAGCAGGGGAAAAGAAGGAATGCAAACTTGTCTGTGCACTCCGGCATTCACCGTACACTGAGAGACATGTCCAGCTCTAGGAAGCAGGAAATCAGGTTTTGTCAAAAAACTCTTTTTATGTCATAGGTAAATATGTCCAATGGCAGTCGATTTACCTGGAGTCCCAGCGATCTGTTTTAGAGTCATATTTATAGGTGGGGATGAATCTAATCTCTCCCTCGGTGAAATCTGCAAATGCTTTCTTCTGAGTGCGCTGGATATTCAGCTAAAGCAGAAAAAGAACATTTAAAAGGATAAACTAACAAACAAATCAACCAACAAACCACCCCAGACACCCCTCCACACACCCAGCAGAGCGTCAGAGGGCAGATCTGCGGGCAGAGCAGTTGCAACCTGTGGCCATGGGATCCACCAGACATCCCCCAAAGTGCCTCTCAGACCTTACACCTTTGGCAAAGGTTAAAACTGAGCACATCAGTGAAATGTTTTCTAAACACCCTGAAGACAAACCTGCCCAGCGCTGTTCACCAGGCCATGCAGACAGCATAAAACAATAGTTAAGGGAAATAACTCGTGCTAATTGCCTTCATTAGTTTTCAGGTTTAAGCATCTCCATTAGTAATATTTCACTGCCAATCATTCCGGCAAAAGCCTCCAGGAGTGCGCCTGGCTGACAACCTGGCACGACTTTCCTTTTCTCATTTACTCTTCTGAAAAATTTCCTGGTTGTTTTCCCTCACAAAAATCTCAGCTACCGCTGTTTTCTGCACGAAGCTCTGCAGCACCGCAGAAATGAGCTGCAGGACAGAATCAACTGGATTTACTGTTAAATTTTGTGTCAGCAATGATATTACACCATTTCCGTTCATGTTTCACAGGTACGACCCCTCACCTCAAAGGCACATCTGGTGCTGATCACAGTTTTCAGGGCCGAGCGGGGAAAACTACAGCACAGAATTTAGGTCAAACTGGCTGAGCAGAGAGCCTTGGTCACACGTGCCAGTCTCCTGATCAATACCTCTTCCAGAACACTGATTACAGCGGCGTTTGCTGCCGTTACAGATTCTCATGTTCTAGCTTGTAGTTCGTAGCTAAGAGAGAACTCTCATGAAACACAGATGCTTCTGCGCCAACATCTTAACAAGTGCAAGCGGAGTTCACTGACCTGGTCGTACGTCAGCAATTTCTGAAGCTCATTCTTACTGATAAGACTTTTCACTTCGCTGGCATCAGGGAGACAGAGCCTGTAGTTCAAGTCTCCCAGCCAGATGACAACGCTGAAAACAGAGACAAACAAGGAGAAGAAGAGCCGGCAGTTAGTCTTGCGGGCCACCCAGGGAAGAAGGGCCACAGGAGAAGAGATGCTTGGTTGCTGGTGGTTGAGGCTGAGACGCACGGAGGACAAAAGGAGATGTGAAAGATCAAGTCTGACAGCAGAAATTCCTAGTGGCAGCAATTCTACAGGACTAAGCCCATCTCCCTTGGAATCCCACGTGGGATTGAAGACTTGGTTTAACAGGATATACCTGAGTCTGCCTCAGTCTGAAAAAAGGCGCAAGAACACCGGGGACTCTTTCACGAGGCGGAACCAGTGCATCTCGCCAGGCTCCACAGCCTCACAAGCTACACAAAACCCACCCAGTGCTCAGGCTCTGTTCGCCAGGCAGCCCGACGTGCCCGCACCCGTGCGCTTGCACCTCGTGAGACGCCGCAGCTCTCCCGGTTTAGTTTGCAGTGCCTGCCTTCCAGCCAGCTCGGCCACCACCGCGCCACCCACCCAGCCACGGCTGAGTGCATCTCGCCAGGCTCCACAGCCTCACAAGCTACACAAAACCCACCCAGTGCTCAGGCTCTGTTCGCCAGGCAGCCCGACGTGCCCGCACCCGTGCGCTTGCACCTCGTGAGACGCCGCAGCTCTCCCGGTTTAGTTTGCAGTGCCTGCCTTCCAGCCAGCTCGGCCACCACCGCGCCACCCACCCAGCCACGGCTGACAGACGCAGAATGTGCAAAAGCAGAGCTCGGTTCCTGTGGAGTTGATGAACTCCGGAACGTTATTGCCCGCTCTTGCCCACCAGCCACGCCTCGGCAGATCTTGCTTTTACTCCGCTGCTCTCAGGGCTTTCAAATGGACCTACGGCCTTCTCGTTGCGAGCCGCTAAAGAAACACTTGTGGCATTCACTCTTTATTCCATAAAGGTTTCATTTAAAGATTAAAACCTAAACCCCTCTTCTGCTATCAAAGCCTGTCCTGTTTGTAGTCAAACCTCAAAATTTCCATTAGTGGATTATCAAGAATAATCTAGTATTTGAACTTTACTCTGTACTAATCCATTCTACATTTTATTTTCAGGTTTTAGAGGGTTTAAATATTAACTATGGAAGTATTAATTGTGCATCAGGTTTAAAAAAAACACCTCAATTTATATGCTTTTTTGTACACATTTGAGCCTGATTTGGATTATTCAGCACCGCTGTCACCTCATTAAAAATAATAATTAAAAAAATATTCAAGTACTGAACGTGTATCATCTAACTCAAACATCCAGTGGCAAGCACTTGTTACTGAAAAAAGCGTGAGCAGCACAGCCTCTGCCCACCCTGCTCTCCTCTCGCTTTTCTTCCCCTACTCACCCCCCCATTCCCCATCACAAAACCCCTGTGGTTCCCTCCAGCCCCATAACACTCAGCTGTTGACTCGGGAACAGTCCCTGCTGAGACGGGAGTATCACACAGCAGGAGGAGACAGGCTGAGCACGTCCCCACCGTGAGAAGGTGCCCACGTAGTTTGACTGCAGGAGCTCGAGCACACCAGAGGCCCTGGCACACTCAGTTACATCATTAAGCCAGAAAACTCACCTGCACGAAGTCTCCTGTTGCTGCGATTCTGATTCAGTTCGGGATCATTCAACACCACTTCAAAGAAAACAGCAAAATCAACTTACTCGTGTTTCATGATGTTGAGCTGAGGTAGACTATCATCTGGGGTTTCAAAACTCATCCGGGCGCAGATGTCCTTATAATCCTGATTGCGTCGCTCAAAGTCCTCCACGTGAGCAGCGAGGTGGGAGTTGACGATGCAGAAGGTCGTGTTGTGGAACACGAACCTCACTGCCACACCGCCCTTGTTGCCCTGGGGAAGGAATTATAGAAATATAGATTATAGGGGCTGGAAGGGACCTCTAGAGATCCCCCAGTGCCACCCCCTGCCAGAGCAGGGTCACCCAGGGCAGCCCCACAGGAACGTGTCAACGCGTCCAGGAAAGTCTCCAGGGCAGGAGACTCCACACCCTCTCTGGGCAGCCTGGGCCAGGGCTCCGGCACCCGCACAGGGAAGAAGTTTCCCTTCATGCTGAGGTGGAACTTCCTCTGTTCTAGCTTACACCCGTTATTCCTTGTCCTATTACTGGGCACCACTGAGAAGAGCCCAGCCCCTTCCTCTTGACCCCCACTCCTCAGGTATTTATATAGATCAATAAGGTCTCCTCTCAGTCGCCCCTTCTCAAGACTAAACAGCAGGTACCGGCGGGCGTTAGAGGGGGTGGCAGTGAAACACCAGGGAGGAGACGGGGACAGCACAGAGAGGAGAACAAACCAGTTTGTGCTGTTTGGTGTTCGGTGTGTGGGTACGGAGAGCTGGCCTCGGTGACTCACCATCTTTCCCATGATTCCCGTGCCCACACACTCCGTCACAATCTCTCTGATACTGCCCAGGTGATCCTCCTTAGCAAAGATGAGCAACATCATCCCGACTAGACGGACCATTTGCACCTGCAAAAATAAAAAGGGATTCTTGCTTCCCGGCAAGACAGAGGAAACACACTTCTGATTTGCCTGCTCTGCCTCATGTTCTGCTGCTCTGGCTCTCCCCGCTGACCGTCGTGTTTTGTACCCAGTCCCTGCTTGCCACACCACCCCCAGGACCCCCTGTCCCAAAGCAGTCTCCTGGGGGACAATCCACCACCTCCAGCAGCCATCAGCCATGCTGAGCTCACCGCACTCCTCGCCCTTTACAAACAGAGCTGTCTCACGAGGGAACAGAAACTTAACAAACACATAAGCAGAGCCGTTTGTCAAGTCTCAGCCCTGTGCTCTAACCAGCAAAACCACCAGAGGAAGGGACAGAGCGCTCCTCACAGGTTGCTGCTGCCCATGGCCGCTGCTCCGGCTGGGCGTCAGTGCTCACCTTTGCTTACTGAGAACTCCCGCGGGGCCAGCAACACGGGCAAGAGGGGAGCAGACAGAAAAGTTCTCATTTCTCAAGGTGGACGTGCCCGACAGCTGGAGTATCCAACGGCAGCCACCTCCAAGCTGCACAAATTGCTTTTCAGAACAGCCTCGCTCTCTAATGCAAAGCGTCTCTTTCTGGAGCAATTCTTATCTACGACTTCAGTCATTTCCCCCGCCCGCAGCCGCATCCTGTTTTCTCCCTTTCACCAGTGAGGGCGAAATTCACCTAAAACTCAAGTAAAGCAAAGGGATGGGAACTGGAGCCTCTCTGTGGTTCAGGTCATGACCCTGGGATCCCTCTCGAGGAGCCTCAGAGCAGCAGAGTGCAGCAGGGTGCTCCCTGTTCCTGCTGTGGTTACCTCTAACACACCCATGCTCAGAGCAAGCAGGGCAGGGGTGTGATTTTTTTTTAAGGGGAAACTAGTTAAGGTACTTAGGGCTGGTATCTTCAGCAGAAAGGTTTGCTACAGCAGAGATAGAGAGCAATGGCTTGCTCTAAACCAGCCAGCATCAAGTCCTGCTGACACAACTGAAACAATTCTGCCCCAAGGCAGCAGCCTCTGGAACGTTTCGCCTCATAAATTATCCCACTCCTTCAAGGAAAAGCTATTAGCTGAATTTACCAGATCAAGACACACCTTGCTTCTACAGTACACGGGTGAGATGGGAAGGCAGATAAGGAATTTGAACCCACTGCTGTGATTCTGTTGAGCATACTACTACCCCAACATCTACCTTGAATTTTATAAAAGTTATTCCGATCCCTATCGTTCTAAATTTTTACTTCCAAGTACAATATTCCCCTGCAACTGCAAGGCAGACACAGACTCTCCAGATTTAATGTGGCGTCGCCACCACACACGCCAAGGGTACAGCCTCGGTTCGTCCAGTTGCCGCTCTTTGGGCCAGGTGGCGAAAAGGGAAGGAAAAGGCAAACACTCGTGCCAACTCTCTGACAAGACCCCACAACACCGAAGAGAACTCACCTTCTTGTATTTAGCCTGAGGGTGCAGGGATTTCTTCACAGCAGCCTTCCACTCTTGCTCCTTTACAGACTCCAAGTAGAAAAAAGCCTCTGTGCTGAGGTCCAGCTCCTGGAACCTAAAAAACCAAGCCAGCTCATCGCATCCCTCCTCTCCCACAGGCCTCCCTCTTTCTACAGGAAGGTCTAATGCGAAGCCTCTTCTTGGAAGAGAAGCTCCTCATTCCCACTTGCTAAACAAAGCAGCAGAATTTCACTGCAGAGTCACCGAGACCCCACTGCGATACAGCCCAGCATCTCTCTGGGAAGCAGGCAGAGGACAACCAGAGCCCCTAGGATGCATCAGATAAAGCCTATTTTGTTATTCCACGCCAGCCTTGGTTAATCTAACACTGCCTCAACCAAATGGCTCCCTCCTATCTGAGAGCTCTTCTGAGACACAGCTCAGCTTTGTGGAACCACTGAGAACGTGACAGGAACCAAGAACAAACAGTGTCTGAGTAAGAGCAACAGGAAACCCAGCACCACCAGTAAACGCTCACCCAATGCAGTAGAAGTCTGGAGGCTCCGTGTCGCACACCAGCCAGGGTTCCAAGCTGCTGTCTGGAGACTGCCCGTTCACGTTCCACGTTCCCACAAAAAACCTGCATCACAAAAGCAGCCAAACTGTTAGAAAACCTCACAACCACTGCATCAGCCCAGCCTCTGCAGTGCACGCACGGCAGCGCTCGGGCTGGGCGCAGACACAACTCATGAGCCACCCAGCTGTGGGGCAGCTGAAAATTCCTCGGGCTTGGCTCATTTTCAGAGACGCTCATCCTGGGGATTCTGCAGAACGCTACAGACCAAAGACATTTCACCAGGACAAGGGAACGCCCAGCTCTTTTGACATCCTGTCCTGTGGGGCAGCGCTATGTGTGGTGGGACGGCTGCCTTTATCCTCCTTCTGGTCATTCAGCGACCCAGGCTGCCCGTAGCAGCACTTGTGAGATGTCAAACCCGGGCCAGATTGGAATTCCCAGACGAGAGTGGAGAGCTTTGCCTCTCTGCATGCTGCTCCTCAGCCGTGGCGCTCACCTGAAGTTGTGAAGGTTGACGTACGCCTTCTCTTTCTTGGCGAGCACGTGTTTGATGAGGCCTTCTCTTTGCCCTGACTGGGTGCTGGGAAGGAACATTTTGCGCATCGTGTTGGTCACTTTTGGCTGGTCTCTTGACGCACCTTCTCTCTCTCGGTGAAATCTAGGAAGGAAGCAAGGGCAGAATTAAAAGTGGCTCTGCTGTCTAGGAAGAGAAGTTAAAAAGGGAACAGATTCACCATGCTACTTACTGCCTGTTTTGAGGCACAGGAGGAGGTGGGGGTTCCCGCCGAGATCCTGGGTGGTGGTTTTGCATGTTTCTTCTCTCTTCAAGGCTTAGAGCGTTGAAGTCATCCTCAAATCCCAGAGCTCCTACAACAAAAAAAACCAAACACAATGCCCTGAGAAACAATTTAAAACAGCTCAGATCAAGAAGGAAAAACATTAACTCCACAGGAAGTGAAAAAGCAAATTATAATAGCAATATATCTGCTCTGATGACTCAGGGAATGAGAGAAACGGGTATTAACCACCAGTTTAACACACACAAACCAGGGCACTAGGCAGAAGACAGCACTTGAAGAACGAATAGTCCAGGGCAACAGAATCCAAGGACCGAGGTGTTTTGTTTCGAGAAGTGAGGACACTGGGCAGAGGCCAGGCTGCTGAGTGCAGCGTCAGACACCGCTCCCCACCCCCAGTGCCCATCACGGCACAGAGCACAGATCACAAAGGCAACAGGCAGCTCAGTACCCGAAGAAGAGGTCTGTGATGGACCTGGAAGGTTCTTCTCCACCTGACGCCAGCTGGCCGAGTCCTTAGGTTCAGGAAGAGAAGCTTTCAGGTGGGCTGGGAAAAAAACAAACAAAGAAACAAATCAGCCCTGTCAGAAAGCACTGGCAGTGAGAGGATTTCCCAAACCCAGGGACAGCTCTGCTCACCCTCCTGTATGCTCTGCACCTCCGAAAGGAATCCTAAGCAATGCTCCTCATCAGGGATTTCAAAGAGCCGCTCCGCTGTCTCATCACCTTGAATCCGGACCTTACAGCCTGCTTCAGGCAGAAACACAGACTCACACAGTCAGTCAGGCCTGGCTCACAAATATTACGCCCTGAGCGTGACCAGGCTTTCTAGGTATCCTTTGATGCCACCTTCCAGCTATTGTTTCCGATGGAAATCTGCCCCTAAGCTAGTCTCCCTGTGCTTCCCTGACCTGCACACCCCCTCCTGGGGTACCACCAGTCATGCTTTCCCAGTTTTAGGAATACTTGTCCCTGCTGCGATCCTGCAGAGAAGAGCTCTAAAAGGAGCAAGACAAATTTTTTGAAAGGGAAAGCAGAAGTGGTGACTAGACAGAGAGTTGTCAACACTGAAAAACGTGTGTGATGGCAAGCCAGGCTCAAGCACAGACGAAAGCAACAGAATGGAGATGAAAATAGCTCAGTGCAGGGCCTTGAGGAAAGACTTAAGATTTAGACTTTGACCCATTGCCAATACTTCAGTCTGGGCTTTTACGACGACATATATAAATGACAACAGACTGCCCAAAAGAGCCAGAGAACAATATCCGAGGAAACACGATCCCTTCTTGATCAAAAGGTGAACGCAAAGCGTGGAGGGAGATTACGAAGCAGTAAGTGATAAGCACGTGTCCACAGCCGGCTTCCTGAACGGAGCTTTAGCCACGTGATTACAGTTATAAAACTTACTGTTTGTAGCTATATCAATCAGTAGAGTTTCTTCTGCCTCTGGAAAAGAGAAAAGTAGGATCAAAGGAGTTCCCACTGAATGCTGCAGTAGTTGAATACTCGAAAATGTACCCTGCCTGCTGCTAACCACAAAAGAGTCCAAATTAAGGCGCAAATAGCTTTAATTTACATCTTTACTACTAGTAATGGCTCCGGCAGAAAGAACAGTCCTGTCTGGACAGCCATTTCCCACAACCAAAGTGTCATGGGGGAGATCACACCTGGGCGGTTTGCTCCACGTTCGTGTGGCTGCTCTGGGAAAAAGCAACCTGACAATAAACCTCAGAGCTTGTCCACACCACAAAAGCGATGGGCAGAACCACATCAAATTACACAGAGGGGTATAAGCTAATCCAGGAATAGAATAGATGCTTTTATTGCTGACCAAGCCTTTGCCCCGGGGCCACACACTGCTATTTAAGCTCTCCCAAGACAAGGTCTAAAGCTCTTTCCTACTCCACGGGCAGCTGTTGGGACTTGACAGCTTGCCAGACCTTAGAGAAGTTTTCATCCAAACATGCCAGGATCAGACCAAAGCTCCCAACTCCTGCCACTATGGAGTAGGCAGGCAGACAGACATCAGCAGACACCGAATTTCAGCCGCTACAGAGAAGCACTGAACATGCCAGGTCTGTTTGATGCCAAGCCCACCCCCCCTCTGAACCAGCCAAGTCCTTCAGAGCTGCATGCTGACATGGAAAGACTTCCCACCTGGATGAGGAAAAAGCAGGATTCCATAAACTGTGAGTTCTAGTTTTACAGGGAAGCACTGAATTTATACAGGAACTCAGAAAGGCTGGTCAAGAAGTGCCACTAAATTTGGGTTTTGCTGATAAAACAGCAGCAGATTCCCACCACCACGACAGAGCCCGCCCCACGGGAGTCAGTACCTTGCACACATTTAAAGCGACTGTTGATGGGGATATAATCTGGATCCGCATTTTCTTTCTCCTGTGAATGGATAACTATCCTGCAGACAGAACAAAGGCTCGTAAAACCGCAGAAACTACTCCTTCCTCATATGTGGACAAAGGCTTATAGAGTCACAAGAGCTGTATTTACAGAGAAACGCAACGTTTGACTTCGACCACTGCACTGCTGGGGCAGAAGAGAAAGGGGGAAAAAGCTCAGAGCCGTAGGGGATGCGGGTGCCTGTGGCGAGAAAGCAAGTGCCACTGGCCTGTGCGGCCACAG